TCAGCTCTTAAGTTGGGCAGCATCACTGAAGTTGGACTCTGGAGAAATTTTACACATATAAATGTTCTGTCCTTATTAAAAGTAGGAGACAAATAATTCCAATTATTCTTTTGCCCTGATTGTTTTGTGGTTTATGAGTCCATAGAAACCTCATTTCAGAGGCATTTGCTGCATTTGAGACTTGAGTTTGGTTTGTAGCTTTGAAACTAAATTAGCAAGTATATAACTTCATAGAGCTTGTGGTTTATTATGTTAGCACATATATTGTGTTTTGCTTAGTTTTCTATTCAGTTACTTAAAATATAAATAGTATCTTCTTCATTAGAATTATAGGCAGATCTTATTTTATTGCACTTCACTTTATGGTGCTTTGCAGATACTGTTTTTTTTTTTGAACAAATTGGAGATTTGTGGCAACCTTGTCAAATAATCTATTGGCGGGATTTTTCCAACAGCATGTGCTCACTTCATGTCACTGTGTCACATTTTGGTAATTCCTGCAATAGTATTTCAAACTTTTTCATTATTATCATATATGTGATAGTGATATAGGAGTTAAGAAGGAATTACTTAGGCAGATAGCAAGGACATGGGAGTCCTTTGTACAGGTTTTCTTTTTGATGAGAAGCAGACCCAAATCATTTTCTCACAAAGAGTTGCCTGCAAGCTATGAGCTTGCACAGGTAAGTGTTGGCAGGAACTAAGGACTAGACATTTTCAAAATGGCGGCTCCATCTTCCCTTCTCTGCCAGCCACATGTACTACAAAGGAGCAGACAAGATGGCACAAATCAACAAAGCCCATTTGCATAAGAAGATTACGGTGGGGTGACCAGCCTTCCCCGTACACTATGTAGACATTATACCTGATGGAATCAATCTGTAAGCCCAGTATAAATCAGACACCACCTTCTCCAGCCTGCCTATAAAATCTGCTGTAGTCCATGGCCTCCCTGCTTTTTTGGATGTGTCTCTCTCTCTCTCTGGGAGCTAGCTGCTCTCCTTTCTCCTTTCTTCTGTCTATTAACTTTCCACCTCTTAATTCACCCACATGTGTCCATGTCCTGAATTATTTCTCAGAGCGTGACACTGAACCCCAGGGTATATACCCCAGACAGTGTAGCTGCTTCAGTATCTGTGATCAGTGATCTTTGATGGACCATGGACCACAGCAGATTTTACAGGCAGGCTGGAGAAGGTGGTGTCTGATTTATACTGGGCTTACAGATTGATTCCATCAGGTATAATGTCTACATAGTGTACGGGGAAGGCTGGTTACCCCACCGTAATCTTCTTATGCAAATGGGCTTTGCAGTTGATCTGTGCCATCTTGTCTGCTCCTTTGTATCTCATGTGACTGGCAGAGAAGGAAAGATGGAGCCGCCATTTTGAAATGTCTAGTCTTTAGTTCCTGCTGGCATTCACCTGTGCAGACTCCTAGCTTGCAGGCTGCTCTTTGTGAGAAAATGATTTGGGGCTGCTTTTCATTGATCTTTGATGTTACTATTGTAATTGATTTGGGGTACCACAAACTGCATCTGTGTAAGATAGTAAACTTATGATACCTGTGTTCTGACTGCTCCACAGACTGGCCGTTCCATGTCTCTCTCTCCTTCTCCTTAGGCCTCCCTGTTTTACAAGACACAGCAATATTGAAATTAGGTCAGTTAATAACCCTACAATAACCTCTAAGTATTCAACTGAAGGGAATAGTTGTGCCTCTGGGATTTGAAATCAAATGCTTGAAATGTTTAAGCTTAGTGAGGAAGTTATCTTGAAGGCTGAGGCTAAAAGCTAGGCCTCTTGGGCCAGTTAGCCAAGTTAAAAATGCAAAGAAAAAATTCTTGCAGGAAATTTGGAGAGCTACTCCAGTGAACACAAAAATAATAAACAAAACAATCTTATTGCTGATGGGGAGAAGGTTTGAGTGGTCTGGATAGAAGATCCAACAAGCTGCAGCATTTCTTTAAACCAAAGCCTCTAATCCAGAGCAAGGCTCCAACTGCCTTCAATTCTGTGAAGTCTGAGCGAGATAGGGAAACTGCAGAATAAAAGTAGGAAGCTAGCAGAGGTTGGTTCACAAGGTTAAAGGACCAGTAGTCGTCTTCATAACATAAAAAGTACGAGGTGAAGCAGCAAGTGCTGATTTACAAGCTGCAGCAAGTAATCCAGAAGATCCAGCTAAGATTATTGATGAAAGTGGCTACACTAAACAACAGTTTTCAGTGTAGACAAAACAGCCTTCTATTGGAAGGAGATCTTATCTAGGACTTTCATAGCTATAAGGAGAAGTCAATGCCTGCATTAAAGCTTCCAAGGACAGGTTGACTGTCTTGTTAGGTGCTACTGCTGCGAGTGACTTTAAATTGAAGCCAATATTTATTTACCATTCAGGAAATTCTGGGGTCCATACAAATGATGCTAACTGTACTCTGTACTCTGCAAATAGAACAACAAAGCCTGGATGACAGCATATATGTTTACAGCATGGCTTAGTGAAAAAAAATATATATATATACATACACACACACACATATATAATATACACATATATATACATATATATAATATACATATTATATATGTTTATATATTTTAAGACAGCGTCTCTTGTCACCCACACTGGAGTGCAGTGGTGTGATCTCGGCTCACTGCAACCTTTGCCTCCTGGGTTCAACCATTCTCCTGTCTAAGCCTCCTGAGTAGCTGAGATTATAGGTGCGTGCCACCATACCCAGCTAATTTTTGCATTTTTAGTAGAGATGAGGTTTCTCCGTATTGGCCAGACTGGCCTGAAACTCCTGACCTCAGGTGATCTGCCCGTCTCAGCCTCCTGAAGTGCTGGGATTACAGGCGTGAGCCACAGCACCTGGCCAGCTTAGTTAATATATTAAGCCCAATGCTGGTATCTACTGCTCAGAAAAAAAGATCCTTTCAAAATATTACTGTTCATCAGCAATGCAGCCAGTCACTCTAGAGCTCTCATGGATATGTACAAGGAAATTAATGTTGTTTTCATGCCTGCTATTGCAGTATCTATTCTGCACCCCATGGATCAAGAGGTAACTTTGACTTTCAAATGTTATTAAGAAGTATATTTTGTAAGCTATAGATCCAATAGATAATGATTTCTCTAATGGATCTGGACAAAGCAAATTGAAAAGCTTCTGGAAAATATTCACCATTCTGGATGCCCTTAATACAATGAATGCATAATTTATGGCAGGAGGTCAAATTATTCTGATTAGCAGGAGTTTGAAAGAGGTTGATTTCTACCCTCATGGTGACTTTGAGGGGTCCACGACTTCACTGAAGGAAGTAACTGCAGATGCAGTAGAAATAGCAAGAAAACTAGAAGTAGAAGTGAAGCTTGAAGGTATAACTTTATTGCTACAATCTCATGATAAAACTTGAAGGAATAAAGGTTTGCTTCTTATGAATGAACAAAAATGGTTTCTTGAGATGGAATCTACTCTTGGTGAAGATGCTGTGAACATTGTTAAAATGGCAACAAAGAATTTAAAATGCTATACAAACTTAATTGATAAAGCAGTGGCAGGGTTTGAGAAGGTTAACTCCAAGTTTGAAAGAAGTTCTACTGTGGGTCAAATGCTATCAAATAGTATCATGTGCTACAGAGAAATCTTTCTTGAATGGAAGAGAACATTAACACAGAACACTTCATTGTTGTGTCATTTTAAGAAATTGATATAGCCACTCTAACCTTTAGCAACTGCCATCCTGGTCAGTCAGTAGCCATCAACATTAAGGCAATAACTTCCACCAGCAAAAAGATTGTGACTTTCTGAAGGCTTAGATGATTTTTACCATTTTTCAACAGTAAAGTATTTTTAAATTATGGTATATATGTCATTTTTAAAGACATAATGCTGTCGTATACTTAATATACTACAGTATAGTGTAAACCACTTTTACATGCACTAGGAAACAAAAAAAAAATGTATGCAACCACTTGATTGCAATATTCACTTTATTGCGGTAGTCTGGAACTATACCCACAGTATCTCCAAGGTACGCTTGTATAGTTGTTCCTCAGCATCCACAGGGCATTGGTTTTGGAAACCTTCCTTCCAAATCCAAGGATGTCCAAGTTCCTTATATAAATGGCATGGTATTTGCATATAATCTCCATGCATCCACCCATATAATTTTAAGTCATCTCTAGATTACTTTTGATATCTAACATAATATAAATGCTATGTAAATAGATGTTATACTTTATTGCTTTTTAAATTTGTATTATTATTTTTTCTGAATATTTTTTATTCAAATTTGGTTAAATTTGCGTATGTGGAACCTATGGATAAAGAGGCTGATTTGTACCTTCATCGTTGCTTTATTTCTTACATATTAAATATAGAGAATCAAGTAACTACTGGATTAAAATAATAGTCAACATGTATTATACACCTATTAGTATGAAACATAACATATGTCATGTTATTTAATTTGATTTACTGAGTAACTTGATGCAGAATGGAGAAACTTGGCATCAGAGGTGTTATTTAATTTTCCCAGATTATGCTGCTGGGGTGGTCCCTCCTCCTAGTGGCTCTTCCTGAGATTCTTTAGTCATTGTTTTATGTGTGACTTGTTCATCCCTGAAAGTAATACACTTAAGGACTGGATTTATGGGCATCTTCTTTTTATTGGGAGTTGATTTTCATGTGATCTGTGCTTTTCCTGTTTTAGTGGCCATTTATGAGGGAGATTTTGTAGTATTTCACTGCCATCATCCAGACTACCTATAGTCATGGGGTGAAGTAAAAGTAGGTAATAAAGGTGCTTTAAGATTTAAATGAAATTTATCAAATATTAGTTAATGGAAGGTGATTTTAATGCACCTCTCCAAAAATAATTATTCTTGATGTGTTGACAGTAATCTCTCCCTTGAATTTTTGTTAACCTCAAGGGGGCTGTTATTTGAAGAATACTATGGTCATTATTCATATAATCAATCTCTCTTTCTTTGTCTCTTAGTGTAATGAAACCTCATTCTTTTTTGAAGCTCGAAGTAAAACTGCCTGCAAGCATCTGTGGAAGTGCAGTGTAGAACATCATACATTTTTTAGGTAAATTGATACAAAAATTTTGTTGTCTTAATAAATGAAAATGGCATTTATTTTTATAAAAAGATTTCTATCTTCAGACAGAAATTTGGCATTGTTTCCCTTTTATTAATTTTCTCAATTCCTAATTCTTTGGGTTATATTAATACATGCATATATGCACATATATATTCATGTATGTGTACATATATGTATATATGCGCATAGGCACTTAAACCCATAGATACAGATATATCTTTGATACTACAAGAAAGGATCGAGGTAATATTTTTTAGGTTTATGTAAAGCATGCAGCTGTTGCTAGCATCTATGTAGTATTGGTGGAAATGGAGTATTCTGTGCATAATTAATTTGAAAAGCCTATCAGCCATCTAGGTAGAGATGTGATAAGGCAGTTGGGTATACAAGGCTCACTGGAAAGACCGGAATTGATGATGTCACTTAAGTAGGTATTTACAGAAGTGGTTGGATGAGGTCACCAATGGAAACAGTGGAGAGAGAAGCAGAACTCCAAGGATTGAGCTTGGTGGCCCTCCTGTTATAAGAGGGCAGAATGAGCCAGTGTAGAGTGTGAGAAGGAGCAGTCAGAAGAGTGTGATGTATCCTGGGAAACAAAGAAATAGAGAGAGTGTCTTGATGATAAGGTGCTGGCAACTGCATGCAGGGCTCCTGGGAGGTCAGGTCAGATGAAACTAGAGAACTGACCTTTGGATGGTGGGGATACTTTTTTTTTGTTTCACATCTTTATATTGTAAAGATAAGACACATTTAGCTGGTAATACATTAAGCTTTATTTTTTGTTGTTTTTTAAATGGAAACAAAATTGAGTTATTCCCTGTTTCATCCTCATGGAGTATGAATAGCATGGTGTTGGAGAGGTATTCTTAGAAAATGGCTGGGGTCCTTTATAAAGTTTGTATTAGGGGAGAGAGGTGGCCGAGAATGCCTGTGACATTGAGTCTTTGTCTGATTTTCTTTTAAAAACTGATTAGAATGCCAGAAAATGACTCTAATTCACTGTCAAGAAAACTCAGCAAGTTTGGATCCATACGTTACAAGCATCGGTACAGGTAAATGACATTTTTTTCCTTGGGGGGATGTGTTTGTAAATAAATACTTAATTCAGCTGTCATACATGCTCAATGAAGTTTTTGATATTTTTTCTTTTTTCCTATAATGCCAATGTGTTTTGGAAGCATAACAGTTGATTAAAACCTTCTCAACACACATGATTTCCCAGATTTATTTATATTTAATGACTGCATTAGCTGTGTTGTGGGCTTTTAGATCATAGTAAAGTTTATTATCTTCATAACTTCATTTTAATACAGGTATCACTTATTTTTAATTATGCATGTTTTGTGATTATGAAACAATGTAGATGTTCTGAATAGTAACTAATTGTGTTTTTAAGATGTTCTGTTGATCCCCTATTTTAGCACACTCTGTACTTTTTATATTGTGCATCAAGCCATGTTTTTTTCTGCAGCATAAAGCTTGCATGTAGTAATGCTAGCAATTGTATCTCAACCTTATTGAGCAGTTATTAAGTGGTATGTACTGTGCTACATATTTTCCATTCATTGCTTCATTTAATTATCAATCTTCTGCAGTATTAGCCCCATTAATGTATTGAGGACACTAAGGCTCAAAGAGGCCAAGTCCCTTCTCTAGGTAATCCAACTAGAAAGCAGGGAAGCAGGATCCATTCCCTGGCTCTCTAACTGCAGAGCTCATGCTTATGACCATTAGGCAGACTGTTGGCCTTTTGTGGAAAAAGCCTGATTGTCATGCAGCTACGCAAGTGCTTATGTCTTTTTCTAACACCAGCATTAAAAATGAGAGTGGATTCTATATTTTGAAAAAGAATTTATTTTGTTTCAATTCGTTCTGTTCATTGGAGAGAGCCTGTGATGTACAAGGCATGGTGTTAGGTACCCAGAGATAAAAAGAATCAGATTTACCCACTTCTGCCTTCAAAGAGCTCAAGTATTATTCAGACAGTGAGAGAGGTCCCCCAGGCCTTGTAAAACCCAAGCAGGGCATGGAAATGCCACCTCATGTCACAGAGATGGGACACTTTTGTCACTTCCATTGGAGATATCACTGAATGAAATGCTTCGTTAGGAGGTACAAAAAAAGCCAAGGCAAGCATTCTCAGATTCTCTGTACTGGATTTTGATTCTTCTCTTTTATAATGCACTTTTTGGGTCTTGAATTTGAGACTAAAGATAATCAATAAAAGAGTAATGAATATTAAATGTTTGGTGCATTCATCTTTGTATATTATTTAGTTGAATATTTGTTCATTTAATGACTAAAAATATTTGTTCATTTAATGACTAAAAAATGCTTCAGTGTCATTCTATTATGCATATTATTGGAATTTACATGAAGGTATTCCTTGATATGTAAATGTGTAACATTTAGATATTCGCTGTTCTTCTGTAGACAGCGATACAATTATGAAGAATTTAAGGAAGTATTATTTAGGTTTATGTTAAGAAGAGCAGGTAATAGTATTTGCACTGTTCTTTGAGTTGTGGCATAAAACATCACCAGGGTTATAAAAGAATGTCTCCTTGTGACTGAAATGGAGCTGGTGAAAAGACATCTGTCTTAATGTTCCTACTATTAAAATTGTGATTATCCCATTTAACGTACGCTGTGGTTGGCTTCCACAAATTTAGCTATACCTGATTTCTCAAATTTATTGGAATGCAAATGTTATGGCTACTGGGAATTATTATTAGGAAGTTACTGGATTTTGCATATTAAATACCATTTCTTCCAAGGAAGTAATTAAAAGTAACCTTTGCAAAATAGGAGGCTATGCTCACTGTTCTAATTTTGTGGCTGTTAGCCTGGTAAGTCTTAATGAATCTTAAATCCACATGTCCTTATGTAGGAAACACTAACATTGCCCATCCTTAGAAGAACAATGATGCCCAGAGCTTAGGCAGGGATGGGTCTCTGATTGCTGGGGGGTCATTAGCACACAAACTGTTTATTGTTAAAAGAGGGCAAGCAACCAGACTTTAACCAGCAGGATATGCCTGCCCCTTCCTTGAGACATTGCAGAGATATCCTGGAATGAAAGCAGAGCTCTGGACACACATTCTCCTCCTTTCACCCTGCAGGCTTTTAAAGAATGGGGTCTGAAGAACAGCCTAACAAGTAGCTACAGTATATGAATGCAGGTGTCTGGGTGTGTTTGTGTGTGTAATTGTGTATGTGTTTATAGTGGTGTGTTAGTGTCTTTGTGGTTGTGCACATATCCCTATATGTGATGGAGGAAGAGAGGGTTCTAGTCTTTACTTTCCCTTGCATTTTAGGGCTTGCAAAATATGCCAAGGAGAATTGGCGCTTTTTGGGAAAACTAGTGCTCAAGAAGGAAAAAGCAGATGTTTTTTAATGATATGGGACAATTAAGATTAAAAATTAAGTTTGTGAGGAAAGACTGAGCTGAAATCTGATGTCCCAATTCTTTTGTTATTGTTCCTGTTTTGTCATCAGAGACCAATAATCTGAAATAGAAATTCTTTGATTAAACCTTTTGTTATACATTGCTGTCTTCTCTGAGCCCCTTACGAAGAAACCTTGTCTTTACCTGGCGTTAAGTTTGTGGGGTGCTCCTGGTTTTGATGAATTAATGAGTTGTGTAGAATTTATACTCCAGAATTGAGAAGGAGGCCTTCGAAACCACCCTGGGACCCAGATCCTCCCTGTAGGACTTAACTCACAGGAGCTGTCATGAGATTTCACATTCTATGAAGCATGGAAGAGAGATCAGGTTCTCATGAGAACCTCCTTTGTGTCAGTTGCTTTCACATGTGCTGCTTTATTTAATCCACACAATGACCTACCAAAGAGGTAGGTTTCATATCCCACTTTATATAGATGAGAAATTGGAGGCCCCCCCCCCCCCGAAATAAAGTAATTAAAGTAACAGTCCCTAATCGGTAAGTGGCAAAGCTGGGATTTGATCCTGAGTGTTTCTACTCTTGTTCTTTTCCTTCTGTTTATTTAGAGGCTGAAGGGACTGCTGGCAGTGCCACTCAGCATTCAGAGAGGTGTATGTATGCCAGAGGCAGCAGGGAAGCAGGAGTGATCACAGAGATAAAGTTCTGTCCTGTCGTAACAGAGAGCCACCAAACTTGCATAGGGACTCTGTTCACTTACACTGTAAATTGCTATACTTGTCAGTTACTTTCTGCTACAAGGAAATAGGATGCTATACAAGAATACTTCTGCCAGGAAATTGTAAGAATAAGTAGAAATATACATGAGGAAAATGAGGCTGTAAGGATTTTTACAAATAACCTGCTGAAGACCACACAGCTAGGGAAAGGCAGAACTATGCTTTAAACCGGGCTTGCAACTTCAAACCCAACAGCTACATGGTTCCTTCTCCCATGCCATCAGGCTATGCCATACTGACCAGCTGGAGGTCAGAAGACTTGTTCTAGTGCTGGGTCCTGTACAGCTGGTGGCAGATCAGTTTACCCTTCTGGTCCTTAGTCTTACTAATCTTACGATATGATTTTCTCATTTCTCCTTTATTCCTGAGAGAGAAAAACCTCATTATATTTGAATAATTAAAAAAATCTCATTATAAGATGCCTTAGTGTATCATACATTGGGTTCTGTTTTTATAGGGAACGTTTTTTCCTCTGTGAGATGAAGTGTACAGTGCCCAGGTCTTTCTGGTAACAGTGAGTCTGTAGAAAGTAGACCTTATCGTCATGCTCCAGACCATTTATAATAATGAAAATTTTCACTTTATATGGATTTTTCACTTTTTGAAAATTTGTGTTACCCCCTGTACTTCTTTTAAAAGAAGTTACATTTCAAGCAAAAGAAAATGTCCTCCTAGAATTTAGTAACCACTACCTTGGTGAATATTGGGAGAAGTTTGCCCCGCTCCCTTCCTGAATTTCTATGAACTGTTACTGAATGCGAAGTACCATTATGGATGGGCCCTGGCATCTTTATTTCCCTGGTAGCTAGTATCACACGTCCCAACTTAGCCTGATACAGAGTTATTTTTATGAGGGTTGTAGGCATATTCATTCTTAATAAAGGTGGATGGGGTAGTGAGGAGGAGAAACTTGCACAGTAGCATGTGAACGATGAATTTTAAGTCTGTTTAATCTTTTTGGGGAAACATTCACCCATATTTATCCTGTAAATGTAAAATGGTTAGGATTTAAGGCCATTAAAAGACTTTTTCCCCCCATATGGCTCTACTTGGCGTAAATCAAACTAGCCTTGTAGAAATGCATTTTTCCTGTGCCTGAAATGATGTTTCTGCGTGAAAGCCAGGATCATTCAGTAGCTCAAATCCAGCAGTTGTGGAATAAATTGTTAGTAAGACACATGTTCACTGAAATCCAGCAAACTAAAGCATATGATTCCTTGGGAAAATGACTTGAGAAGTTTGGCCCATCCCCAGGTAAAGCTGCCCTGGAATCTGTGAGGAATCTGTAGAGCAGCAGTGCTTTGCATGGGGTTCTAGGCCTGCCTTCAGTCTTCCAGACACTTGATCTGGCACAGGCGAGGTGGGTACAGTAAATGGCTAATTGTGCCATGGCAGAGTCCAGAATAAAACCATAGTGACTGGTCCTGTGGGGGACGCTTTACAACCTGCCCTGTGAGTACAATATGGAGCTCATGTGGAATCATTGCTCTCCCATAGTTTAGCTCAACTAATTCCTTTATTATTAAGTGACCTTAAAGACTCAGCAACCTTTATTTCTAGCCCTTCATTCTATTTAAATCTAACTCGTCCTTTAATAAATCCTTTCGTCCTGTTTCCTCCTCTGAAAGATCTTCCTTCTGTCTAATGTAAATCTCCTCTAGAATTTTATAACTCCTCCCTTGGTGAATATTGCAATGAGAATCAGTTAAAACCCCATGTATAGTTAGGACCAGTTGAGTCTGTGTGTTTTTTTCTTCTCTCCATACTTTGCAGATTTTCTGAATGACCTGTTGTTTAATTTTGTGGATGCATGGTTTTACCTTTGCTAATCAAAATGTTGTACTTTTAAGTGGCAGGACAGCTTTGCAAATGAGTCGAGATCTTTCTATTCAGCTTCCCCGGCCTGATCAGAATGTGACAAGAACTCGAAGCAAGACTTACCCTAAGCGAATAGCACAAACACAGCCAGCTGGTAAGTCATGGCGTCCCTGAGTTACCTATATAACCTTGTGTTTTCCTTTAGCCTGGTGTTTGAGATATACTCAGGTGATGTCTAACTGTATAGTCTTTTTATTGAAATTTTTAATATTAAAACTTTCTAATATTAGAACTTTTAATTTGATCTTAGAAATATTAAAGCAGTCAGTAATTATTAAGAAGACAAATAGTCATCTCGAATCACCATGACCTGCTTAGTGACCATACTTTCTTTTTATTTTTTGAGATAGGATCTTGCTTTGTCACTAGGCTGGAGTGCAGTGGCATGATTATAGCTCACTGCATCCTCGACCTCCTGGGCCCAAGTGATCTTCCAACCTAAGCCTCCCAGGTAGCTGGGACTGTAGGCACACCCCACCATGCCCAGTTATTTTACTTTTTTTTAATAGAGATATGGTCTCAGTATGTTGCCCAGGCTGGTCTCAAACTCTTGGGCTCAAGTGATCATCCCTTGAGTGATCCTAGCCTCCCAGAGTGCTAGGATTATAGGCATGAGCCACCATGCCTGGCCCCATACTTTCTTTTTGAAGTGTTTTTATTTTAAATAAAATCTTTACTGGGCACAATGACTCATGCCTGTAATGCCAGTGCTTTGGGAGGCTGAAGCAGGAGGATGGCTGGAACCCAGGAACTTAAGGTTGCAGTGAGCTACGATCATGTAGCTGCACTCCAGTCTGGGTGATAGACTGAGACCCTGTCTCTTAAACAAACAAAAACCCACAAGACAAAGTGCTACACTGAGTAATTTCTTAGTTTGATATATTTGAATTGAAGTTGAAAAAACTCTTAGCAAGAGTCTTTTAAAAAAATACCACTGCTGAGCATGGTGGTGAGGCTGCAGTCCCAGCTGCTCAAGAGGCTAAGGCAGGAGGATTGCTTGAGCCTGAGAGTTTGAGTATAGCCTGAGCAACAAAGTGAGACCCCACCTGTAAAAAATACAAGTAGAAATTAGGAGCGCTATCGAGGTAGCTTAATTTGAGCTTCATTTGTACAGAATCCAGTTGGTTTTTTATTATTAGTCTTTTATCATGTAACAATGTACATATAGAAAGTGTATAAATAAAATATACTTATGGACATATACATATATGTATACATACGTGTATACACACATGCAGAGTTAATCTGGCCAGCATCCCCAAAGTGCAACATGGGCATTTCTCTGATTAGCATTCTCACCATCTTCTCCCCTCAGTTAGAGGAAACTTCTGTTTGACTTTGCAATAATTTCATTCCTTTTCATTATAATTTGTTGTGTTTTCTGAAAACATTAGTTTATTTTGCCTGTTTTTAATATTATATAAATAGATCATAGTATGTGTTCTTTTGCGTCTTGATTCTTCTTGCCAGCATTATATACAGTGTGTACTAAAGCATGTTTTTTTTCTTGCTGTCAGTATTCTAGTGTTTGACATTTTATTCATTCTACTGTTGATGGACATTTGGGTTATTCACATTTTTTAAAATAAAGACACTGTTTCTTTAATAAAACCACCCAGTCGATCAGCTTTATTCCATGTTCAGTGTTCATTGCTCACAGAATTTTACTGTGAAGTAATATTGCTGACGTTAGTTTGTGGCTTGCTTATAGATCACCCTTGTCTAACACTCTCCAATGTCCTTTCACAGATACTATGTTGTTTGAGCCTCACCCCATGAGGTGGGGCAAGGGAAAGAGTATTTTACAGATGAGGAGGATATGGTTCTAGCACTTATTCAGAGGTGTGGCCAGGACAGGAGCCCAGGTCTACTGGGTCTGGCATATTATAGGAAGTAAATGAAATTTTGAGTAACAACATTAACATCTGAACATTGTGTGAAAATTGACATAGCATTATGATGTCTGTCATTTCATTTAATCCTTATGCCAGGCCTGTGAAGAAACGTTTGGGAGTTTCTTCTGCCATTCCTGTGTGTGAGAATGTCACCTGACATATTGCTTCTAAAGTCAAATTAAGTCTGACTGTAGTTCAGCGCCCTCCCCTCCCCCGCCATCTTTTTGGCTGGGAGGAAATAACATTCTTTCTCGTGGTTCTACATTGAAAAGAAGAAAACATGACTGAAATTTGCATGAGATTACCATGCCACATCAGTAGTATTGTTACCTCCTTTCAGCTGAAGAGGAAACTAAGATGTAAAAGGCAGTTTGGCTAAAACTGCTGTGGAGTAGGTTTACTGGGCATTGGTTACTGACTTGCTTGAGTCCAGTGAGAGAGAACATGTTCATATGCAACAAGTTACATGAAGCTTATGTATTACTTACACATGGGCAGCAAGAGGACAAAGGAAGCCAGGATCCATTGTGAGCTGGTCCCCAAGGCTCAAGAAAGCTGCCTGGGGTAGATGGAGTCTTGACTGCAGGGGCCTGCCTCACTTGCCCCACAACTGAGGGACCCTGAATGAGGTGGCCTACTCTGAATTGAATGCCTCAGGGCAACAGGACTCACTAGGTTAAAGCTTTGCAGGACATCCTGCTTTTAGGGGAGAGAGGAACAGAGCTCAGGCTGTCCTGGAAAGTTCCCCCTTAATGAAGGATGTTACATTCCTTAAAGGGAGCAGGAGAAAGGCCCTGGCTGTTGTAGGCAGTTTCTCCCTATCTCAGGATACTCTATCCCCAGCACATTCTGCAGTTATTTCTTGAGAACTACAATCAAGAAAAGGAGAAGACCTGTCTTACAGTTATATACTAAAGGTGGCTTTGGACAGATTATCTTAGTTTTCTAATGCCTGGTCTTCTGCTTTATCTTAATATTTTGTATTTGAGCAGTAATAAATCCCATTAGGATCAGCTGCAGTGTGACTAAAATTAATAAGCAAACTTGCATAACCCTGTGCTATTTCTGAAACATCAAGCCTCATAAAATTATCCTGAGATCACCTGAAAATAGCAAAAGCATTTCCTGCTTCAAATCAACATTTCCTTCTACTTGAGATGCAGAATTACACATGCTCTTTCTATAAACCTGTGTGGTTGCTTTTTTCTTCTTCTTGTGTGCTCTAATGAAAATATTTGCAGGTATCTGCCTCTGTTAACACAGAAAAAAAAATGATTTGACTCTCCTTGGAAGCTTAAATCCCACAAGCTGATTAATTAGGATAAGGTTTTTGTTTTTTCTCGGCTTATGTAGTACCAGACAAATGCAGTTTTCACAGAGCAGCATGAGCCATCACTTCCATCCTAGCCCACACCTGAGGGCAGCCTCTCAGTTCCACTCCTCTCTGCCATAGAGCATATGTAAAGGGGCCCTCACAGCACAGTCTGTTGAGTATATCAAAACAGACTCTTCAGTAGTGGGCGAGGGCATAGGTGGGCAGGTGGCTAATGTACAGCCCAGCCTTTGTGGAGGACAGCCTTCCAGCATCAGGTGGATCTCTCTCTTTTTTCTTTTTTTAAGATAAGGTCTCACCTTGTCACCCAGTCTGGAATGCAGTGTTGTGGCCATAGCTCACTGTAGCTTCGAACTCATGGTTCAAGCAGTCCTCCCACCTCAGCCTTCTGTGTAGCTGGGATTACAGGCACAGGCCACCACTCCTGGCTAATGGTTTTTAATCTTTTATTTTTTGTGGATATGGGGTTTTGCTGTGTTTTTGAGGCTGGTCTCAAACTCCCAGCTTTAAGCGATCCTTACACCTTGACCTCCCACAGTGTTAGGATTACAGGTGTGAGCCACTGTACCGGGCAGGTGGATCTTTTTAAAATGTGGAATGTATTATGCTTTAATTATTATAAAAATATGTGCTTGTTTTTTAAAATTTAGAAAATGTAGAATCTTCTTTCCCAAAAAGATAGAAAAACCTTTCATATTCAACTCTATTCTCCTTATAGTAACACTGTATTATACAGCCTTTTGACCACTTGTATATTTTTCCCACACACGTGGTACAATCCTGGGTTTTCCAGTTGCTTTTCTTATTTAATAATACATCGTGGATGTGTTCTAAGTCTTTCAATGTTCCTACACAGTGCCATTTTAATATCTGTATAATTTTCTGCTGTGTAGACATAGAGATATGACCTGATTTATTCAACCAATCTTTAATTCTTAAATATTTAAGGAGTTTCAAAATTCAAAAACCACAAAAAGCACTAAAGTGAATATTCTTGTGGTGATATCTTTAAGCATTAATGACCGTTTATATATTTTAAACAATGGTGTATATTCATCATTTTTATTCTAAAAAGAGGATTAAACAATGTTGTGTTAAAATCCAAGACTTCGCTGAGAGCACCTTTCACTCTGATTTTTGAATTGCTTTTTGCTTTTATCCTGAATTTCCTTCCCTCCCTCCCTCCCTCCCTCCCTCCCTCCCTCCCTCCCTCCCTTCCTTCCTTCCTTCCTTCCGAGATGGAATCCCACTCTCCCTCTCAGGCTGAGGTGCATTGACACAGTCTGCTACCTCCACTTCCCAGGTTTAGGCGATTCTCTTGCCTCAGCCTCCTGAGTAGCTGGGACTACAGGTGCACACCACCAAATCTGGCTAATTTTTGTATTTTTAGTGGAGACAGGGTTTCGCCACATTGCCCAGGCTGGTCTTGAACTCCTGACCTCAGTCAATCCACCTGCCTTAGCCTCTTAAAAAGTGCTGGGATTACAGGTGTGAGCCACTGTGCCCAGCCTATCCTGACTTTTCAAGCCTGTGTTCCACAAATAGTGATGAATTCTAAAGGTGACCTTCCCCTTGACAGTGTGATTTTCCTGGGTAGGGAAGGACCATTTCGCAAATGCCAGTGGTCCAGTGATCCTGTGTTACACTTGCTCTTGTGCAAATATGAAGGATGTTGTGGGGCAGGGATTAATTGTTTCATTTTTTAAATGTTACATTTTCTTCTTCCTCTAATTCAAATGTACCTCGCTTTGAGCCTCAATTGAACCTGGCTGGTGGAAAGTGATTGTGAGCCATCCCCCAGTCCGGAGGCTTGGCAGGCTTCCAACTCAAAGCAGAATATTTGAAGAGGGTCCTCTGGTCCCTACC